ACATCTTCAATATAGGAATGTTATTATTTTCCTACAATAGGGTTCGATTCCAGGGTAGGGAGTTTTAGATTTGTAGTTTTTTTATAAAAACACATGTATGTTTAATATATAAATTATGGCGACATACACATGAAACATTATAACAAGAAATCTGACAGACAATTTACAAGAAACAAGATAATGCATACAACGAAACAGGTGCGTATGCGCACGTACAAACGATAAGCCACTATAAGTAGCGTTTAGCTCTTGATTGTTATTTTATTCCCTTAAGTAGTCTATATGATAAATTATTCATTCAGCTGCCCAATTTGACAAAAAAAAGTTTAAATTTTAATTTATTAAATTTTTTTTATGGCATAAGCCGGTAAACGAGCAGACGGATCACCTGATGGTAAGCAATCGGCGTCGCCCATGGACACCTGGAACACCAGAGGCGTTACAAGTGCGTCACCGGCTTTTTGGGAACAGGAGTTCGAGGATCGTTGGGGATTCAGGGATTGGGGAGATTAGGGAAGGGGAAGGTAAATGCGCCTCCGGTAACCTCACTCACACGACGAAACACAACGCAAGCGTTGCTTCACGTCGGTTTTCTGCGAGGCCGTGGTATCACTCCGGTCGAGCCGGCCCATTCGTGCCGAAGCATGGCTCTCCCACACTTAAAACACTATATCAGCTTCTTAATCTTTATTTTCGTATATTAAATTATTTTCCTATCTATTCATTAACTTCTAGCCGGCATACAAGCCAAAAATATGGTTTATATTTATAGAATAAATCATAAAAATATGAAATATTCAACACAAAAATTGAAACTGTAGCACAACTGCTGACTGTACTTGATACAGATGTCCTCAATAAAAAATGTTACAACAGCTCTTAAAACATACACTACTTAATTATAATTATATAATTTTTATAATTAACGTTAGCTTACTTAATTAAGATTACACCGGGTCATAAGTCATATGAGTTTGTGTCAACACTATTATTTCCTGTGCCAATGTGTGACTCACTAAGTTAATAATGCGACGTAGAGTATTATTAATAGGATATATAAATATTATTATTATTGTTATTACTCATTCATGTGTTATTGAGGTTTGCAGGTAAAGAGGTCGTGGTTGAAATTTGAGTTTTGTTGGTTTTGTTTTAAAGTATATTTTTGCATACTTTTACAAAGTTCGTCTTTCGTTCATTGTCTTCTTTTTCGTACTTACACAAAGTATCCTTTTCTTCAGTCGTGCTCTGTTTTTATATTCTATCACAGTAAAATTCACTAATTATAATAACTAGGTTTAAAGCCTGCATATTAATCGTTTTTATTTAATGTTATCTGCGTTCGCAAAAGTGATTAAAGTAATTTTTCGACGTAGCGAGACCATCCCGGTGCCCCAGATAAACTTAGACTAACCGCATCTTAATGTCGAAAGACTATAGTTCATTTTCGAAAAAATAGTCGTTTTTTCCCAGATATTTTGACCTTTAGTAGGTCATCAAACTCTTTAATTAGGATATATTTTGGATGTCCTACCCACACTACACTTTCCGGTACACATAACAAATAAAATAAAAGTTGCAAAGTTATTTTTATTTCATTCAATTGTTCAAAGTAATTGCTACTGATAAATATTTGTTTTAATTTAATTTAGCCTTTTATTCAGATCTTAAATGTTTACAATAAATTTACATCTAAAACTACAAATAACTATTCTTGCACTGAAACTTAAACTAATATCTGTTCCTTAGTTACCATTTCAAGATCTGTTTGCCAGTCGGCAAAGGCCTCCTCCAATCTTTTCCATTCTGTTCTTTCTAGAGCCACTTGGTTCCACATTAGTCCTGCCACTTGTCTTATATCATCATCCCATCTTTTCTGCAGTCTGCCTCTCTTCCTTTTGCCTTCTTTGGGGTACTACTGTGTTATATTTGTTTAGCATATTATTATTTGAGTACAATCGAACTAGAATTTGATTAAAATACACAGGCTTGAACTACTATTTATAATCAGATTAGAGAAATTTTAATAGATATGCTAAATATTCGCTTTGCATATCAAATGATTATTATTATTACTTTGTTTACATTCCTACTGTATCTGCTACAATTTACTTATCTGTAGATACCTATTTAATCACTCGACTTGTATCAACTTGATTGACGCTAGCAGAAAGCAGTCAGCCAAGTAACAAATAACTGCTAAAACAAACATTGAAGCCAGGTGGTGTCGGCAGACTAAATAAAAAATACATAAGCTACCAGAACGGAAACGAAACTGCATTCGAAGCTCTAAGTCTAATTGGTTGATTCATTGGAACCGGCCAATCAGAACGCCGATCGCTTACTCGTTTCGAATACTTTAAACGTAAAACACACTCGTACTAACGCCTCTGAATGCCAAGCACGAATAACTATCGCATTCATAACTTAATATACTAGTCAAAACAAAATAAGGGCCACTTGTTATTTTTAACAGCGGCAGCGATAATTTATTTTTTCTTCGTACTCAAGTAGCTGAATGGTTATTACAGCGTTACCTTATTTGTTTACAAACATTTATTTAAGTGTTCTACAGGCATAACTCTGTGAAGTGGGCAGTTTTTGATAATTTATTGTACCCACTTGATTTTACCCGATTTTAAGATGGATTTTAAGTCAGTCAAACTGACGATTCTGTCAAGAACAGTTTAGTTTTGTTTTACTTCTGGCTGAGTTATTTCTTTAACAAAGATATGCCGAGAATCCGACGACATATGGACTTACCAACCGTAACTAGGGCCGTAACATTACTTCAAGAAGGCCATTCGCAGCGTTCTGTTGCGATGCAGCTGGGGTTTTCTCGGCGAGCAATTCAGAATGCTTGGAATCGATTTCAAGAGACTGGGAGACTAACCAGGAGACGGGGATCTGGCAGAAATCGAGCAACTACCGCACAGGAAGACCGCTACATACGTTTGACTGCGCGCAGAGAACGCTGCATCACAGCCCGTTCCTTACAAAACCGTTTGCGACAGGCTACGGGTACACGTGTTAGTGATCAAACCATTAGAAATCGGTTACACGAGGACCAGCAGTTCTCTAGGAGACGTGTAGTGCGGATACCATTGACAAGTGCTCATCGTGCAAACCGATTATCGTTCGCAAGGCAGCATCTGGCATGGGATATGAGTGAATGGAGCACAGTATTGTTTACGGATGAGTGCAAAGTAAAATTTTTTAGTGATGACCGTCGCATCAGGGTCTGGAGGCGTGAAGGTGAGCGATTTTCGGATGCTTGTATCCATGAAAGTGACAGATTTGGGGGCCCTAACGTTATGGTGTGGGGAGGAATCTCTACATCAGGTAGAACTGAGTTGATAATTCTCAACGAAGGCACAATTACAGCTCAACGTTACATCGAGGAGGTCATAAGACCTCATGTGGTCCCATATGCACAAAGAATCGGCGCAAGATTCCGTCTGATGCACGATAATGCTCGCGCTCATACAGCTAGGGCCACTAGAGAAGCTATAGAGGAGGCTGGTATACAGGTGTTGCCCTGGCCTGCAAACAGTCCGGATCTCAATCCCATTGAACACATGTGGGATTTACTCAAACGCAACGTTCGAAGCACAAACCAACCCGTGCACAATGAAAGACAGCTAATAAACATTTTAAAATCAAGCTGGGAACAAATTCCTCAAGAAACAGTGGTACACTTGGTGGAGAGTGTACCATCCAGGCTTCAAGAGTGCATTAGAAAACGAGGAGGGCATACTAAATATTGAGGAGTTACAATTCAACCAATATCTGATTTGTTTTTCTTTTTTCATTTAATTTTATTTCATACGTTTTGCTTGCAAAAATGTTAGTTTTTCAGAAAAAATGGTATTTTATTTTTTTGGAATGTGGCTTTCATCATTTTGTGCTGTTAATAATAAAAAACAGTTAATTTATCAAATCTAATCATTAATTAACCCTTAAACCTCAAAATTTCATGAGGAAACTATAAAAACGTGGTGGCCCTTATTTTGTTTTGACTAGTATAGTATCGAGCGCGGTCGGCGCTCTGATTGGCTGGCTCTAGTGAACCAACCAATCACAACGCCGGACTTTCTCGATACGATTGCGATAATTATTCGTGCTTGGAACTCTGGTCACCGTCTCAACACTTCTCGCGGGTGTTGTAACCGCAAAGAGTTGACTCAGGGACATTTGATTGACAGGGAATGAAAAACAGTACTCTGTGACAAATCTGAACCTTTTAGACCGCTGATCGATCGAAACTCCCTTGCTCTAACTATATCGACTGCCGACTAACAAAATAACCATTGACAACTAGCAATAATTGAATACTACCCTCAGTCAAAGTCGCGGAGAACCTAACGGGTAACCGGGGCTCTGGCTCGACGTGCAAGAGAAGGAACGGGGTGGTTTTTAGTCAGTAAGAATCTGACACTCCTTCCCGCCTCACCCAGGCGGGAGCAGTCATTCGATGATTTTTTCCCCCATAAAAAAAATCCTCAGTTAAAAATTTAAAATATTAAGAAATAATGATATTTTATTTAATCAATTTGATGATCTGTTTCATGTTCGCATTTTTATAGCTAATTTCTAATAACTAAGTATGCTATGCCGCTAGTATGACGTCACAAATCTAAATCTCATACAAAATCCATAGAAAAGTATCGAATTTGACATTTCTATGAAGACATTGAGTTTGACACCAGTGTCAGATATGTACCGTATTGAATAAATAAAAAACTAATTAGATCAACGACCGTCAATGTAGATTGCTGATTCATATCGCTCACTATCAATTATATAGGGACTTTAATCTATTATCAATAATATGAACTACTCATATCTACTGACGTACACAGCCCTGTACAAAGAATTTCGTAATCATTTCGTACTTGACAATAAGATTAGTTTAAGCTTTTGTAATGAATTGAGCGAATTTTCTGATAGCTCAGTGATTTGTGTTTGAATTATGAATGTTATTATTATTATTACCTGGAATTTATACACTGCATAAAGGTAATAGAGGGGTTCGCACCATGACCATGATCAAATGAACTGATTGTCGACATACTATTTAGAATATTCTAAAACTTTTATTTTGGCTGAAATTCATACTTGAGAATTGGAAATAGGCACCAAAGTCAAATTTTTTAGCCATTTAAGTGTGGGAGATCCATGCTTTGGCACGAATTGGTCGGCTCGACCGAGCGGTATCACGGCCTCATACAGAACCGACGTGAAACAAAGCTTGCGTTGTGTTTCGACGTGTGAGTGAGGTTACCGGAGACCTAATTACCATCCACCAATCCTCAAATTCCTAATCCCCAGAAGGCCGACAACGCACTTGTAACGCCTAATTACCATCCACCTATCCTCAAATTCATAATCCCCAGAAGGCCAACAACGCACTTGTAACGCCTAATTACCATCCACCAATCCTCAAATTCCTAATCACCAAAAGGCTGACAACGCACTTGTAACGCCTCTGGTGTAGTCGCGGAGAACCTAACGGGTAACCGGGGCTCCGGTTCGACGTGCAGGAGTAGGAACGGGGTGGTTTTTAGTCAGTAAGAGTCACGGGAGTGTCAGACTCTTACTTCCCGCCTCACCCAGGCGGGAGCAGTCATTCGATGATTTTTCCCCCCTTAAAAAAAAAACGCCTCTGGTGTTTCGAGTGTCCATGGGCGGCGCCGATTACTTACCATTAGATGATCCGCCTGCTCGTTTACCGGCTTATTCCCATAAAAAAGTAGGTGCTCATTTCAAAATGTAGATTCGTTTGGATAAGAACGAGCAAGAGACCTTTAGGTTCAATATTAAATCTTATCCATCACACCATTACACATAAAATAGGCGATAATAACACATAACTATATCGTTACAGATACGAAAATGCCGTGCGCTTGGAGGAGCTCAAGTTATTTGGACATCTTATCAGCCATTATAGTACTCAGGTAATTATTGTTAGCTCTTCTATATGCATTATCATGTATTGTATGTAGATGATAAATCTCAAGTATGCTGTGTTATTGTAGGTATTAGTGGGCCTTTATATTTTATAGAGGATTACACGCTGTCACAGAATGCGTAAGATAAATAACGATTCACAGCTCCTCTCCCGTAAATGATACGGTGATATTATGTAGCCTATATGTTGACCCGACCTATTAGTAATATTCATACAAAATGTGAAGTAAATCCGTGCAATACGTTTTGAGATCATCCCGGACATACATACAGACAAACAGACAAAAATACTAAAAACCATATTTTCGGTACAGTTTTGAATTTTCTACAATTTTATTATATGTATAGAATAGATTGTTATGTTTCCTTTAAACTCTATACTCACTCTTGACCATTTGTATTTTGACTCTTTTAGGGATAGTGTAAACCAATCTTGAAGTAAAGGATCCTGCGACACATGTCACCATTGAATTACTGCGACGTTGCTGGACTTCGCTCGACATGTCGCCGATACATATCTCAAGACATTTTCCTCTAGTGTATCCTTATTAGCTTACCTCGTCAAACAGCTTGAACAGTTTTCTATTGTCAGTCAGAGACTTAAGTCATTTTGCCAAAATGACTTAAGTTTTACTCAGACTTTATTACATTTTCGCCACTATGGCAAAAGTAATAAGGTTGATCTATTGAATCAGATTGGAACACTTAAAGCAGTTATTTCTTTTACAGGTGATTGCAGCAGAGCCTTTCCTACGACCGCTGCTGAAATTGTTAAGCGGATTCCGAAATGAATTACCTCCACCTAATCTTGAGAGTAAGTACTTTTAAAAGTAATTTAAGTTCAAAAACTGTCAAACGAGGAGAGTCGGTGTTCGATTTCCGGGTTGGGTAAAGTATTGTTGAGACTTATCTAAAAAAAAAAATGTTCTCACACAATCGAACCAACAAAACTATGTAACTAGAGAATTGTATTGTAAACCCGATTAAAAAAGAGTAACCTATGGAGTTTCTTGCTCGTTCTTCTCCATAGGAATCTACACCTTGGAATGAGCAACTAGCTTCACTTCTAAATATTTGTTGTGGACGTTCACACTGCCTTCCTGGTCTAATTTAAATAAATGATTTTGAATTTGACTTTGACTATTCTGTAACTATCAATTCGAACTCTCGAAGTGAGCTCGATCGATTTTCGCCCATCATTGATCGAGATTATTCCCACAACGCGAACTGCGATCGTGTTCACTTCGATCTTACGAATTGAAAGCTACAGAATTGCATAACAAGTTTGTTTACTATGTCTACCTCTACCATTGTTGATTAGTAGTACCATATATGTCTAAATAATTTCAGGAGAAATAAGTCTGGAGACATGTGTCTGGATCATTTTCATTAATACTATACTAGCAGCCCGCCCCGGCTTCGCACGGGTGCAATATGCATGTAGTATACATATAAACCTTCCTTAAGAATCACTCTATCTAATAAAATTTTGATGCGGGCTTCAAAGATTTAAGCATACATAGGGACAGACAGACAGACAGCGGATAGTGACTTTGTTTTATACTATGTAGTGATAAGTTAAATTGGAAAGGCTGAAATTATCTGTACGTTGAGGATTGGGCACTGATAGTCGAAATACAGGCAATGCCTAGTTCGACTACACAAGCTAAAATCATATACATACCTGTAAAACGATTGTAGCCAAAATTATTGTTGATATATTGTATTAAGTGCTTAAGAATAAACTGACTGCCTCGTTGGCCGAGTGGTCGCAAGTGCGACTGCCGGGCAAGGGGTCTCAGGTTGGATTCCCGGGTCGGGCAAGGTATTACTGGGTTTTAAAAAAATCTCATTAGTAGCACGGCGTCTGGAATTGTGCCCGCTATATGGCATGGGACTCAAAACATAAATAGTGAAAAGTGGGTGTTACGTACAGTGGCATAATGTACACCTCCGCCTACCCCTTTGGGGATAAAAGGCGCGAGCGAGCGATGCTTAAGAATAAAATAAAAAAACGATATAAATTATTTTCCGAAAACCATAAGTAAAGTTCCCAAGATGAGTAATACCTGTTATCTTGTCGATATCTAACATCGTGTGGCCAGATAAACATGTGCAATACTTTTGATAAAGATCAAACAAGATGTCGTTTATCTTTATTTGTATTTACTACAAAGAATGTTCCTTTGTTATTGCATCTTTATGTGTGTATTTTCTTAAAGACTAAGATTTTAATTTAGAAATAAGTGTGTTGCTTTTCGTTTAACTATGAGATGCTTTTCGAACCTATATATTTTATTTATTTTTATTTATTTTTATTGGTCCAAAGTATTACTGGGTTTTAAAAAATTCTCAGTAGTAGCACGGAGTCTGGAAATGTGCCCGATATATGGCAATAGGCTCACCCCTATTACATGGGACTCATAACATAAATAGTGAAAAGTGGGTGTTACATCAGTGGCATAATGTGCACCTCTGCCTTCCCCTTCGGGGATAAAAGGCGTGATGTTATGTATTGACCCACCAACAATTGTATACACTAGTATATTAAAGAACAAACATTCATCAGATACCAGTAAAATGTTACCATCGACTACAGGCGAGCACAACATTCTTTAAAAAATATCAATTAAAAAAGCAAAATTAGAATAAAAAAAAAACTAAAAGTTGCATTAATTTATAAGAATAAATTAGCAATATATTAAATACAGGAAAAAAGCACTGCAATAGAATATAAAAAAATAGTTAACATTAAAATTTATGTACCAAGGCATAATTTGAACTCTTTGAAATAACGAATAGTTTCGATTTTGACCCTCAATAACGAATAGATCGATTTTGACAATCAATAGATTACATACCTAAGTTTGACCAGGATAGAAGAATAATTCTTAACCGCATCGAATCTGATTCTAATGACTAAATACTCGAACGCTACTCAATAAGGTAGATGCCTAATTTTTATTTTAATGTCCGTCTGGTAGATTATTTTAAATCATTAGACACGTATTTTTTATTTTCTTACAGAAACGAATACTTTTGATTTGAAATGTCGCGTGACGTCACTTCTATGTACATTTTATACGTAGAAATGACGTTTTAGCCCCCGCTCCTAATTCGTTTTATCTAAGTATTGTTTTATTATACGACAAAATAAAAAATAAATACGTATCTAATATTTTTTCATTACCTAACTGACGGACTAAATAGATTTTTAATTTTCATACCTTGTTATCATCCCAATTTTAAGTCGTTGCTTAAGTATAGTTTTGTCACTACGACTTATTTGTAAAATTGCAAAGTTGGCACAGTATTTATTTACAACTAAGATTTGCGTAGCGTTTTAGTATTCGGGCGAAATTATGACTAACCACTTGTTACGTACCCAACAGAATCAAAAAACTATAGGTTATTAGCTGACCCGGGAAACTTCGTATCGCCTACATTTTTTTTCTCACCTTTTAAACCTTATTGAACTATCACGAACCTATTAAGACCAAATTAGCCAAATAATCTCAGCCGTTCTCGAGACTAACGAACGAAAATTCATTTTTATAACATAACATCACGACTTTTATCCCCGAAGGGGTAGGTAGAGGTGTACATTATGTCACTGTACAATGTAACACCCACTTTTCACTAATTTTGTTATGAGTCCCATGTAATAAAGGGTGAGCCTATTGCCATATACCGGGCAGAATTCCAGACTCCGTGCTACTACTGAGAATATTTAAAAAACCCAGTAATACTTTGCCCGACCCGGAAATCGTACCCGAGACCTCTTGCCCGGCAGTCGCACTTGCGACCACTCTGCCAACGAGGCAGGCATTTTTATTTGTATGGATAATATCCTTTCGACAATTCACTAGCTTAATATAACCTCAAATTGATGTGTGATTACAGGTCAGTTAGTGACGGTACTGAACCAGATGTGTGTGGCGTTGATGCAGAACATCAAGTTCTTGGATTTGTTCTTCCTAACCATGCACACACAAAAAGGATCTCAAGCTGAGTAAGTTCAATATAAATGTGTTCTTGTTATGGAGTATTGTGTAATATATGTGTTGGTTTATTGGAAAGCTGCTGGCATAAGAATATTCAATGGTCAGTTGAAGTCAAAATAATAATAATGGGTCTTTTAATTTTAATATTTATGTATATTTATAGTAACACTGATTCTGCAACTATACCTAAGGAGGAACCTAAGGAGGTTTAATATTTTAGTAGCATAGCATCTTCTATTACAATACGGTAGTTGACAACTAGTCAAATTCAATACTTTTATCGAAACCTCAAAAACGATACTGTTCTATGAATTTTGTACGAAATACCATCTTATGACGTCATCATATTTTCTCGTCAAATAGCACTTATATCTAAAAAAAATGCTAGAATAAATCGTAAATTAAGTATATCGGCAAATCAATGAATGAAAGTGTAACTATTTTTCAATATTTAATTGGACTGAAAAAACAAAATTTATTTTTGACACAGGAAACTACCCAATTGCTCTTATAAACACATTTAACAATCACGGCTCCAACTCAGTAATCAACTTATTTTTTTTTTAATAAAGGCTTAGGTACACTAGGATTTTCTCCTGTGTCGTGGCAGCGTTTACAAACATAAAGTTCATGACACCCAGAGCCGGAACAAGTATCTGTGGATCACACAAAGAGTTGTTCCGTGCGGGAATCGAACCCGTTAACCCGCAACACGTTGCGCGACAACCATTTGCCCAACCACCGCGTCAATCGTGCAGTTTATGCAAACTTATCATTTAGAGCTCTTATGTCAAATGACATACTTCATAACGTCAATATAAAAAAGCTATAAGCGCGACACTCGCGTGGCAACCTTTTTCTATTGTTTCTAAAGCTAAAATGCCGTGCCCGAGCCGTACTTCTTAAATATGTTATGACCTGAATATCAAAAATAGTATATATGAGTAAACTGTGTATTTCAATACTTCCTATTTCTATATTTGATGGGCCACTATCTCGTCTGATGGTAAGCGATGATGCTGTTAAACCGTGTATTTTAATTAAAATAAAAAAATAAAAATATTTTTATTGACAAAAAGCTTCACATTACATACATATTTATATGGCTCTGGACCCCACTCTAGGATTCCCTGTGTCGTGAGGCCCAGTCTCTTTCAGTCAGCAAAACATTATAATACAAATGAGAGACAAAATAAAAAGAGAATTAAAAAAAATGGTTGCCTGTGAAGTTGTTTTTACGGGCGAAGATTTTACGTGACAACGTCTTTTTCTCGGTAGAATATTTATTGATATGAATATAATTAAATTGCACAATAGGAACAAGGAATTGAATGAACTAGTGCTGCGCGCGCGGCAGACCGATCATAGTTGAGTGGGAGAGAGACGCAAGGCATTCGGCGGGCCTCTCTCTCGTTCGGTGACTCATCGTAACGTTACCGAGCGTTACACTTTTTCATAAGTGACTCCCAGCCGCAACCTAATTTAAGACGTTGTCACGTCAAAAAAGAAATTAAATGAAAACGATAAACTTACAGTATTCTTTATATAATACTAATTATGGAAGTGTATGAATGTATGTGTGATTTTTATTTGATTTGCTTTCTATCCCAGGTTTATAATAGTCCGTCTCCTGCTGTCGTCGGTCCACCGCGAGGGCAGCCCGGGCGCGGCCGCGCGGGACGCGCTCCTGCTCTGTGCCAAGATGTCGGCGCGCTGTCCACAGCTCGCCGACTTCATGCTGGCCGGGAACACGTGTCCTGTACTCGCTACTGGTAACTGTTGGATCAAATTAAGTCTTCATTTGATGTATATGTGGTCGTGTTTTGTATAATAATGATCTAATAGTTTGATGTGGCACCTACAAACAAAATTGAACCTTATTGCGGGGCCGAAAAACGATCGAATGGTTGACAACATTACAGCTAACCACTATATCTCGAATGAGATCAAACTAAGCAGTGTTTAATCTTTTACAATCAATTACACGAAATGCAAGACAAGCAAAATCGAACCTAATACATCTAATAACAAAGTTCATTACCTCCCACAGGTCTAAGCGGTCTGTACTCCCTCCTACCCCGGACCTTGAGCGAGCAAGTATACCGCCTGACACCGGACGACGTGAACCACGTACATAAACTGACGCTGTTCATAGACTCGCTAGAGTTCTGTAACGCTGTGGCACAGGTATGTAATGATTGTAATTTATGAGATAGTACGGCAAACGAGTAGACGGTGGTAAGCTATTGGCCGCCCATGGACGCCCGCAACACCAGAGCATTGGCGGCATTTGTTACAAGTGCATTGGCGGCGTTTTAGAGGAAGACACAGAGGGCTCAGCAGGTGTTTGTTTTTCGTTCAAAGTAACCGAAACGAGTAGGTACGCGTTCGACGCTCTAATTCGTCGGTTCATTCATCATCAACAGTCAGAAGACGACCACTGCTGGACAAAGACCTCCCCCATAGTTCTCCACGTTGAACGACAACTCGCCACTTGCATCCACTGGCTCCCCGCAACTCTGGCGATGTCGTCGGTCCACCTATTGGGTTGGTTCATTGAAGCCGGCCAATCAGAGCGCTGGACGCGTACCCCTTTCGAATACTTTATTCGTAACGTTATATAAAGAAACTTACACTAAGGCCTTTGAGTACCGAACGCAGTCTCGTTTCGATTACTATAAACGTAAAATAAAACTCTTACTGAGTCCTTAGGTAACCCCACAGAACAGGAAACAATACCAGCGTACCTTGTTTTTGGGAGGATATTTTGCAATAACACTCACGCCCTATCTATTTAGATACCACAGATGGGGCCCAATAGGGCCGATGCCGATTCGGAGTCGCGGAGAACCTAACGGGTAACCGGGGCTCCGGCTCGACGTGCAGGAGAAGGAACGGGGTGGTTTTTAGTCAGTAAGAGTCTGACACTCCCTTCCGCCTCGCCTAGGCGGGAGCAGTCATTCGATGATTTTCCCCCCTTAAAAAAAATCTATTTAGATAGTGGTCAAATGTCAACCCAACCCATTAAATATTAAAAAAAGATTAAGTTAGGATGGAATAGGTTTCAGTACACTCATTTTTGCATTTGGCCTGTCACATATAATTTTAATTATTATGTAAATAAAGTAATAACTCTCAGTAGTAGCACGGAGTCTAAAATTGTGCCCGGTATAAGCTCACCCCCTATTCACGTGGAACACATAGCATAATTATTAAAAAGTGGGTGTTACATTGTACAGCTTTAAGTGCTCTGCCTACCCCTTCAGGGATAAAAGGTGTGATGTTACGATGTTATGTAAATAAAGTAATTGATATTTAATTTCCATTATAATCACCGTTTTCATTTTCGTGTACTCAGGTTGCTCATCCCTCAATAAAGAAGCATCTACTAGATCTACTATACCAAGGGTTCCTAGTGCCGGTGATGGGCCCAGCGTTACTACAGGTAAGCGCTAAACGCCGCCATATTGTCAAACTGCGTCATCATGCGCAGGAGTGGGAGCTAGGGACATATTGTATGCGTTGCCAGACTGTTATGTTTGTTATATCATGGATTTTGTTATGGATTTGTTGCATAGATGTAATTTATAACACGACCTTCGTGCGTACGTGGACGCTAATGTCTCGGGTTCGATTTTTACAACAGCTCTAATTAACAATTTCGCATTTAGACGTCTGAATGGAAAATATTTTGGTATAATTTGTCAAATTTCAGTGTCAATCTTATTAATAGACTTTTCTATTTAGTCGTGTGTGAATATATGTATTTTTAAAAAGAACTAAGGCTTGATTCAATCATTTTGATTTAAATAAATACTTGTCCATAACAAAATCCTGGCTGATTCATCACAAAGGTTTTCATTAATTTATTTTCATATTTTAATATAAGTATTGTATTTAAATTTACACAGATAAAATATAACTTTTGATCTTCTATTTATAAAAAAATCCACAATAAAACACCAACAAACTTAATCTTAAAATTCTACCACACTAAAAGCCAATTTGAACCTTAAGACTATACGGAACAAAGTCCAAAATACTTTTAAACAACAAATACACTAAAGCACATTTTTCTTTAACATACTAATGACACAAATTAATACTAACTTAGTCTTTCTTTCAGTTATAGACAGGTGAGAATTTACCTTCATAAATGCACATAAATTGATTTTATATTTTGAACTCTATTCGTTATAACAATAGGGTTTAATTTAACATATTTTGTATAGAAGCAAGATACTTTCACATTACATTTGAAAAATAAACCTTATTCCAAGTTGTTTAAAGTTCAAACTAGCATTTTATCTATACGTTTTCCTATTTGCAATTTAAGATATAGAAAATAAAGTTCATTTTTCAATGTCCTCTTACAATTGTTACTATAATGTATTAAGTATATGTATTTTATTATATAAAGCATCGTGTGTTTTCATGAAATCATGTGTTTGTTTGTACCATTAATGACGTCATATTGAATTATATATATTGATTTTATACTTACAAATATAATCGCGTTTGTTACACGCAAAGTGTGAAGAATATAAAGTGACATTTTTGTTATAATTGTATTTTAAAAATGTATTATGACTTTTTTGAAGTTTATAAACCACACAACAAGAAGAAAACCAGTCCTTATTCATATGAACTTCATCATATGAGTCATAATGCATTTGATTTTTTGAACCGAAGCACTTTCCAGTACTATTTACTTTTAGATATTTAAATTTCATTAACATTCTGTTTCACAATTTCTGATTACATTTTTGATAGTCGTAACTGACGAATACTTTAACGTGTGAGTCAGTAAGCAAGTTATCAGACATTGTGTACACTATATTTTAATTAACTTACTGTGAATTCGAAATTTGCCCGAATATTGAACAAGACGTTACTCAATTTACAGTCGCGCTCAATTAATATTCTGTCACTAAAAATTGGGTACTTTCCTTAATCAAAAATAAACTATTTCGACTGTTCAATACAATAAAATGTTAAAAAATAATCACACATTCATTTTATTGATTTTATGATCAACTTAATTTTAATATGTTTCCAGCAAATTTTTAATAAATAGATATGCTGTTTGACGCTAAAAAACGTGACGTCACAACAGACAATCTCGTACAAAATTCATAGAAAACTGTCGTTTTTGACAGTTCGAAAAAAGTATTGAATTTGATTAGTTGGCAAATACCCAATTCTTTGTACAATAACAGAGATGTATGAAGTACAACTTAAAGTTGATTAGTCTTTAATATTCAGGCAATACTTCTTAATATTTTTAATTTACAATTACTGGAATGTGCTTAACTTTGAACATGTTCTACGGCATAACATCACGTAAGTGGGCTTTCATTGCACGCGGGTCGCACCGGTATGGGCCATGTCGACGCGGTTTAGTGACGGCAACCATCCTTTGATCGATTCATCGCTGGACATCTTACATTACTCATATAAATAAAGAAACAAAAACAGTTTATTTGTACTGTTACTGTTATAAATAAAACAAAAAAAAAACAAGAACGATAGTTAAAAAAAAACAGAAAATTTATAATAAAAGTCAAAATCATTTATTTCAATTAGACCAGGAAGGCGCTTTTGAACGTCAAAACACAATATTTAAATAATAAGAAAAAATGCCAGTCTGTCAGTCAGTCCTCTAGTGAAGCTATTTGCTCGTTTCAAAGTGTAGATACCTATGGAGAAGAACGAGCAAGAAACTCCATAGGTTACTTTTTATTAATCAGGGTCACAATAAAATTTTTGGTTACATTGTTTCGGTTATATGGTGCATATCATTCTTTTAGGTTCATTAAATCTAATGTCTATTATTATACAAATAAGGGATTATTAAAAAACAAGAACATTATAAATGTGCGTCGATCAATCTTAGTTAAACTTCTCCTTTCAACTCGTAAATGTCCGATTATAAAAACCACAAAATTTGTTCATACAAAAGTAGTCTCTAAACATCGGGAATAAAATCTAAAATTAGTGTATAGTGGTCATCGGTGACCGCAAGTTATTATAAAGGTCATCATCGTTTATTTCTTCTTTCATACATAAACATTTGAATCAATATTATTGAAATATTGCAGAAAGATAGCTAAATTGAACCTTGTATTTAAGAGGATAAAGTTCACAATAAAAGTTGGTTTGGTATACCTATCTCATTTTGGTGATGGAAGGCATTATGTATCTTGGTGTGTGATTTTCTTGTTGTTTTTCTGCTTCTATAATTATGCGTGTGACGTTCTTTCTTGTGAAAACTAAGGGAAGTCAGGAAATCGATATATCGATAGTCGATTCTATATATATCGATTGATCATATGACGGGATATCTTCAGTTTTGGTTATTCGTTTTCAATTTTGTGTCCAAGCAATGAATCGATTAAATTCCTCCATGTTGGTGGTAGTAATCTAACCTTTTTTCTGTTATTTCTTTTGTTTCGACCTTCTTGTTTAAACTCTTTCAGTTACATCTAACCTATTCTTTCCAGCACCTCCTTTTTAAATTATTAACTAAACTAACTTTGATTACACAATACTTGTCTATTAATAAAACTAACTGTGGATGACACTAAATCATGATAGACTTTGTTAATAAATAATAACTGCAAGTGCATTAGAAAAAAAAACGAAATGTATTAAAAAAAAGTCAAAGTAAAAATTAATATCCATAATCAAGTAAACACTCAAAATGATTATTACATATACATTTGTTTTCAACCAAAAAGTTCTAAATAACATAAAATAGAAAAGCATACATATTTTAATAAACCACATAGAAAACTTTACAATCAATCCTCCGCAATTTCACATCTCCCCCTTATTTCCTATCCCAAAAACTGTCACTCAACCGCGGAACGTCCTGTATATAGAAGCCTACTAACGTGGAACATACCGTAGACGAAAGCGGCGACGTTGCAGAGTGGCGCAGCGGAACAAGCGGCGGCGATGGCGTACCTCGAACTTCTATTGCGATGCGTCACCAGGCGAGGACTATTGCGGGCTGTGCTTCATTTCCTCTTTGTATATGAGTATGATGGAGTTAGAGTCGTCGATGTATTGTTACGAAGACTTGAAGGCAATTCTCAGGTTTGTTGTACTTGTTTATTACAATTATGATGTAGTTGACTGTGTCTAATGCTTGGAGTGGACTGCGCGATTGGAGGTGCAGATATTTTCGGTTTTCTTTAATTTTGTACTGAAAAGCTGCTAATTTTTTGGATTTGTTGTAAAGGTAAGATGTTATATTTTTATAATACTATCGTGAGACATACTAAAGATCACGTCAACATCTTACCTAAATTAACTAAATATTCCGAGTTACTCACGTGAATTTATTGAGAAAAGCTATACTAGTCTCGAGCCACAGAGGGGCTCTTCCTCATGAGCAGTGTGCGCGGACTATTTGAAATTTTAAAGCGTCACATGTCCAGGATGTTTACTCTTGAATCCAATTCCGATCGATCGACATTGGTATTGTGAACGTACTCTTGAGTTGCAACACTAGCGCCCATTGCATCTGTATTACGTGAATGTTTAATGAACTAAAATGGTATTGAGTTTGGCTTTATATTCCGTACTCTGAATGCTATTTTAACAGCTACAGGCCAGCTACGATAGGGGTTGTATAGTTTTGACATTGAATATTGATATTTTATTGGAATGAAATTGCATTGGCAATGAGATTGGTTTCAAGAGGTAACACATCAGTTAATTTAGAATATTGGCATCGTAATAATATGTTACCCGATTTGAACTAATCGAAATTCAAACCTACTTAACGTCTATATTCCAGCTATCACTAGTCTCCTTAGCTCTAATGGAGACACTAATCGACCTCAACTGCGAAGATGTGATGGTAGACCTGGTCTTCAAGCACCTTCTCAACGGCCATCACCTGATGGTAGCCTATAGACATAAGATAGCTGATCCGGAGCCGTATAGAGACGCGGCTATCGCATTCTTGGGTCTCTCGCCTAGATGCTGCTCGAGGCCTATGGAGATGGTAAGATTTTTGAGTGATATTATTTTATTATTGTAAACACTACCTAACGATAATTTAATGAAATAGTATAGATGACAAATTTTTATTTTAATGTCCGTCTGGTAGATTATTGTAAAATATTAGACACATATTTTTTATTTTCTCACATTTTTTTTAATATCGCGTGACGTCACTACTAGGGACGTTTTATACGTAGAAATTACGTTTTTGCTCACACTCCTGCGGAGAACCTAAGGGGTTACCGGGGCTCTGGCTCGACGTGCAGGAGAAGGAACGGGGTGGTTTTTAGTCAGTAAGAGTCTCACACTCCCTCCCGCCTCACCCAGGCGGTAATTAGATGATTTTCCCCCCTTTAAAAAAAATTGGTTCGTTTTATCTAAGTATTATAATCACAAAATAAAAAAAATCACGAACGAATTATAGTTTTCATTTTCATACCCTTGACAAGTAACGTGTAGGTGAACTGGGAAACGAACTCCTAAATTCTTTGACCAAAGTAGTTCCAACGGTTATGGCAACTGTTTCATATTACCAAAATACATATAATAAATATCCTACTAACAACTAAAATACCGTACCTAAAATTGTTATCTAAATAGAAACTAAAGTTATCCTAAAACATTCTCCAGACAAAACATTGGATAGACGAGCTAGCAATGAGCGGACGTCGCGTCCTTGATCTGAAGAGTGACAACGAGAGGCGAGTGAATGGAGTCCACGACGATATCGCCATGAGCAGTCTGGTACATGAAATTAAAGTCAATTATGGGGTGAGTGCATTTAAATATAGACATTGTGGCATATTGTGTTAGGTTAGGTTAGGTTACACTAAACTGCTGACTGACTCTGACTGCACGGTTGGTGCGGTGGCTGGGCAACCGACTGCCGTGCAACGTGTCGCGGGTTCGATTCCCGCACAGAACAACACTTTGTGTGATCCACAAAGTGTTGTTTCGGGTCTGGGTGTCATTGTGTATGTGAACTTGTATGTTTGTAAACGCACCCATGACACAGGAGAAAATCCTAATGTGAGACAATGACTTAAAAAAAAAATTGAAAGCAAACAATTAGTTATTAAGATACAGTAAAGATATTGAACGAAAGAGATATTGTGTGGCGTATTATGCAATATATCTACTAGAAATTGCATATTATACAACTATAAAAAAAAAACGCTGCATTTTATAACTTACAACATATTTCTGTCTGTAGGTCATTGTAGACCTTTCATCATAACTATAAATCTAAATATCCAACTGACTCGTAACAAAACATTTCAACCATTTGCATTATGTTATATTTTATCTATAATTCCTTCTAGAACCCCAACGACACACTATTCGGCAACTACCACGCCTACATCTGCGACTCGCGCTTCGAAATAGTATCCCGCGTACTAGCATGCAGTAACTGGAGCTCACGGTATGACAGCGTCACGCCGCCAAAAAGAGAAACCAACAACAATACAAAAGAAACGAAAGAGATAGACATAGTCTCACCGAAAGAGCAGGACAGCCTTATTTCATGTACGAGCGGATATGAGACAAAAACAAGCGACAGTTCGGAAAAAGAACAACACAGTTTGACGTCACTGAATGAACAGGAGAATGAAGTGAAGACCGAATTGAATGAATTAAAAGAACATGATAGTTTGACGTCTACCGGGGAGAGTAGTGGGTATGAGAGCTTTAAGTATAAGGAGGGGGAGGGGGATGAGGGATTCGCTGAGGAGTTATTCCGGAGGAGTTTTGTAAAGAAGGAGGATAATGGGTATGAAGGGGAGGTGCCTTTGATCAGAAGCTGGAGGGCCAGTGCTGAATCAATTATTGGTAAGTTTTTTAGTGTTCTCAGAATACCATGGAGTTTAAGCTATGATGATGCTCACCCCTTTTTATGATAGTATACTCACTCCCTATTATATGGAACCCAGGCATAACTGCTGAAAAGTCTGTGTACAGCTTAGTGACATTATCCGTTAGGCCACCCACAGCTTCGGGTAGGGTATCAACCCTGTTGGGCCCCATTTGTGATGGTCTGATGGCTCTTTAAGGCGCATGGAGAATTCGATGCGCCATACTCTCGGGTCTGGTTCTGGTTGGGCAGCGAATTACTCTTGTTCGCCGTCCACAGACCCGTGCTTAAGGTAGCCGGAGATCATCACATAGTGTTACCTTTGGGGAACAAAGCAAAATGTTTTAAAATATTTAGCTTTAAGTCCGATGAATCCTGAATTAGAGACAAGAGTCTTTAAAGGACAAATTTTAATGTAGCCATTTGTATATTTTAGTATTACTAATTCTTTTTTTTATTCCATGCAGGCCCATTACTAGCCAGCCTTCTGAAGAAGACAGCAGTTCTCTTAGAATCTGAAGTGATAGTAAACTGCCGCGTCACGAGTGTAGTCTCCAAATTGGCGTCACTACCTACACCTCTGCTGACCTCGCTACTGCTGTGTCCCGGATTTGTACTGCAGCCTAACGTGCCTTCTCTGTTTCAGGTAAGTTTTTTTTATGGAATAGGAGGCATACGAGCAGATGTATCACCTGATGGTAAGCGATCAGCGCTCTCTACAATACGCTCTTTTCTTGAAGGTTTGAAGGTCATATCGGTTCGGAATTACTGTCGACGACAGATCATTCCACAGTTTTGCTGTGCGAAGCAGAAAGCATCGTGAGAAGCGCGCATTAGTAGTTTTGTAGTTACTATTTAACTCGTCGAGTACCGGTTTTGCAGACACAATTATAGAACAATAGGTTGCGGTCACCGGTGACCGCTTGGTATTTGACAGTTTAATAATGGTTAGTGCATTGATTTATCATCCAGTATGTGTTTCTGTCGCGGAGAACCTAACGGGTAACCGGGGCTCCGGCTCGACGTGCGGGAGAAGTAACGGGGTGGTTTTTAGTCAGTAAGAATCTGACACTCCCTCCCGCCTCACCCAGGCGGGAGCAGTCATTCGATGATTTTCCCTTAAAAAAAGTATAAGTGTGTCTGTAACGGGGTTGCCATAATCATAACCTATGTTTTAACATCCTAAGAGTTGTGCCAAAAGTAACATTATAGTAATGTTCTGTCGATGTCGTGACTCAGTTTTGGTCCAATGATGTTATCTATTATGAAAATGTAGGTTTTGTAACTTTTAAATATCATTTTTTATCCTTTTTTTAGTCCTGTGTCATAATTATTTTGTCACTTTTAAACTTGTAAGTACCTAATCACTCCATAGTATAAAACAAAGTCGCTATCCGCCGTCTGTCTGTCCCTATGTATGCTTAGATCTTTAAAACTACGCAACGGATTTTGATACGGTATTTTTTAATAGATAGATTCCTAAGGAAGGTTTATATGCATAATACTTAAGCATATTGCACCCATGCGAAGCCGGGGCAGGTCACTAGTACCCATTATAATTATGTTATATCTCTTACCAGATACTAAGTAAACTAAAAGAAGAAGTAGAAGAGCTGACGGAAGGTATAGACAACACGGGCGAGCTGGTGGACAAGGCGCGAGTTTACCTCATACAACGAGAGATGGCGTTAGTAAAGACACGAGGCCCGACGAATGATGATAGTAAGTCACTTTGTATTTTTCTAAAGACTAGAAATGACAATAATCAAGCAAATTACAATGATAGGTACAATATAACACCCGCTTTCACTATTTATGTTACGAGTTCCATGTAATAGGGGGTGAGCCTATTGCCATATACCGGGCACATTTCCAGACTCCGTGCTACTACTGAGAATTTCTAAAAAAAAAACCAGTAATACTTTGCCCGACCCGGAAATCAAACCCGAGACCCCTTGCCCGGCAGTTGGACTCGGTCGACGAGGCAGTTACCTATTTATACATATACTTGACATATAATTTGTGTGAAATCTACTGTTATTTATTGCCTACTAATTTGTCGTACAGGTCACGGCCACGACTCACCGTCCCAGAAATCGGACGACTCGCCCTTCCGACGTGTCGAGGCGAAACGTCGCAGTCTCTCCAATAGCATATCCAACATGTTTGGACGGAGATTATCTTGTAAGTTGTCCTATTTTAAACATACATATTTATCTTGTTGATTGAGGATTGCAAGTACAAATTTACAGGTTTTTAAAATGACCTTTATTGGGCTTTTCGATTGTATACATTTTTATGATAATCTGGAAATAGGAGCAGTATTTCTAGCTTTCCTGTCTATTAAAAAGGGTTTAAGAAAAAATAGATGTTGTTTGGAACACCAGAACTTACATCCCTGGGTAACATAACATCACGCCTTTTATTCCCGAAGGGTAGACAGAGGTGCACATTATGCCACTGTACAATGTAACACCCACGTTTCATTATTTATGTTATGAGTCCCATGTAATAGGGGGTGAGCCTATTGCCATATACCGGGCACAATTCCATACTTCGTGCTACTACTGAGAATTCTTAAAATCCCAGTAATACTTTGCCCAGCCCGGTAATCGAACCCGAGACCCCTTTCCTGGCAGTCGCACTTGCGACCACTCGGCCAAGGAGGCAGTTACTGAACTCTGGGTAACAACAGGTGTAATGTGACATAAGTAATCTTATTTTGCGTCTACTTAATGTATGCTTATAAACTTATTCTATTTTCAGCTTCATCGCCCTCCCAGCATCACATGCACAGCCCACAACCCCACACATACGCCAGCCCACAAAAACGACCAGTGTTCACACAGGAATCGTACTGGAACCAGTCCATCACACTACGCTCAATACTAAACGCCGTCATACTTGATGAGTGGCTTAAAGAATTAGCTGCACTATGCGAAGAACATGCCCTACGACTTTCAGCCAATCACTATGAAGATGAGAGCTACGTACAAGCCGTCGCCTTATGACTGAGAGCCAAAACCGCTGAAGGTATTTACCTAAAAAGAAATGCCCTCAACGGAAAAACTAATGACACATTCGTCTGAATGCAATTCGCCATAATAACGTTACTCGATAGCAACTATCGATTCTTTAGTCGATTTTACGATTGGTGTTCACTACTTTTCATAATCGACTAATTTTTAAATGTATGTGGGAAGCTATCACAAAAGTCCAAGTGTTTTTGAAACATGTGATTTCTAGGTGTTGAGAGTTGCCTTTTACGTATAGCAGGAATTTACAACGTAATGTAAATATTAAAGTAAGGATCGGATTTTATGGATAAGTGACGACATTTGAACGTTAACGATTTTTTCTACAAACATTAATGTTATTTTAGACGTCAATAACAAGCAGTATTTAATGTATTAATTATAGTGTAGTTAAATAAAATCTATCAACAATTTTTTAACAAAAATCTTACATAAGTCCTAAAAATATTCTTCCCGTAACTAGACGAGCTTTTAACCGCGAGAGAATCGATCGCGTCTTTACAATATTCGACTAAAATCGTTAATGTTCGTGTTCCAAATGTATTAGGCGAGTTTTTACGAACAAAAATATCAATTATTTTAGATTGTACCGCGTGTACACTTTATTTAGTTGTAGCAAGCATCACATACTTAAACTAAGTACCTAACTTTACTAGAATAATTTAGTTGCAATTATTTTTTAAACGTATAAACTGGATTGCCATCAACGTAATTTTGAACTGTGATTTTTGTAATGTTCAAACAAAAATTAAATAAAAATTTTCCTGAATATTTATTGTGAAAATGAAATGGATACTTTTGTCTGTGTGATTTTTTATTAATTTTTATGGTCTTGATCTATGTTTTCGAGTAGTATCTAATTATATTCTGTCTATAGGCATTGTTTAAAGAATGAGTCGAGTTACTCGTGGAACAGTTACGTGAGTGAGTCGAAAAACATAATAATTGTTTAAAAGCAATAGCAATTGTATAGATTTAATATCAACTTTTATGTCAATGCAAAATATCAGAAATATTACTTTAGTATTTCATAATATTAGTTGAAAAGTTGGGATTGTGAACAGTGCCTATAAACCAATTTTAATACTAACTATTCTGATGTTATATTTTATTTGGAAATTAATTATTATTTTAATATTGTTTTACTAACATTGACGTGTTTTTTATTGAAAAAATAATTATTATGTAATAATTAGTTATTTTCGTGAAACGATTATTATTTTTATGCTTTTAATTTGTTTATTGTTTGGACTCTTCATACATTTTTTTTATAATTTTTATAGTACCTATATCGCTCAAAATGTTAAGGTGGTTCTACATTTGAGGTGACTGCGACTTTTCTAATGACAGTTCTCAAACGTGCAATAAATCAAATGTAGTACTGCCTTTAATTTCGTCCTATTTAATAATATTTGCGAATCGTCCGTGTCCGTCCTAAGGATGAAAATATTTTAATTAAATATTTATCTATTTATATTCTGTATCCAAAATTTTATTCGCGCAAAATTTTACAATAACGTGTTTGAATGTTTAAAGCGAAGACGAAATTAAACGAGAAACATTTACTGTGATCATATCGTAAGACTAAATTGCATGAATTCTACTTTTTTCGGAAAACATCGAGCCTTTGGCGGTTTTTGTAACTGCGATATCTTTCATTGGTGTTCAAACCTTTATATAAGATTTTATTCATTTTATAATGAATATGAAATATACTATGCAGGTGAAATATAACGTATTTTATTAGGTCAATTATATTGTATTAACCTTGCCAGTTTTTTAATCTGTTCCTGACTTGCCGTTTGATTGGATATCGTTACATTTTCCGAACCTCAAAGTAAATGCAGTAATATGCACAAAACGTGTATGAAGTGTAATGTTACGTGAGTTTTACATACTTAAAAATTATTGATGAATTTTAATAAAGAAATGTGAATAACATACTTTGATTTTTATTCGTAGAAAACCTGAACTCTTATTTCTGGTATCACCAATTCGCCTTAAGCACACGTAGTGATTTTCAATAAGAACAGACCAAGAGGTCTTTGCCTAGTAATAAATCTGTTACAAACTGATGATGATGAAATATACAAAATAAGTGTGGGAGAGCCGTGCTTCGGCAAGAGTGGGCCGGCTCGACCGGGGTAATATCACGACCCCAGAGAAAACTGACGTGAAACAATGCTTGCATTGTGTTTCGTCGTGTGAATGAAGTTACCGGAGGCCCAATTAGCCCTCACCTCAGCCCCTCCCTCCCCCAATCCCTGAATATCCACAATCCTCAAATTCCTAATTCCAAAAGGCCGGTAGCGCACTCGCAACGCCTCTGGTGTTCCAAGAATCCATGGGCGACGCCGATTGCTTACCATCAAATGATACGTCTGCTCGTTTATCGGCTTATACCATAAAAAAATATTGTAGTCGAAATCCATGCAAGAGTCACCCCTTTTATTTACAAACGCTAACTAACTCTAGTGACTGGTGACTTGTAACGAATGAATAGGAATGCCACGTTGGTCAAGAGTTTTACCTCTATAAATATTTGTTCAAGTGGCCACAAGCGCGACTGTCTAGCAAAGTTTCGGGGCTGATTTCTAGGTTGAAGCTTATGATAGATGTACTTCAACTTATTACAGGATTTAGTAAATAGCGCTATATAAATAATAATATTTTCACAAAAAAACTAATAGTTACGTTTAGATTTCTATATTCGAATTATAAAAACAATGTGGAAGTTTTAGGCGAGTTGATTTTCACAGTACAGAAACCATAGCCACTCTATAATCTCTATGACCGCATGTCAAACTCAAATCAAATGACAATGACAACTAATGACAAGGTATATATGTTCTGTGATGACAATTTGTTGTGTATGATTGTGAAGTGGAGTTCCTTGTTTTTATTTATTAGATTTCTAAGGAAATAAGCTAAAATTAAAACTAATTTTGGCTAGATTATGTGAAATCATAGTGATATTATTAATGCTGATAATTTGAAAACAATACAATGTCGGACGACGAGGTAATGCGATTTGAAATTACCGACTATGATTTGGATAATGAATTTAATCCAAATAGAAACAGAAGAGCCAAGAAAGAACATCAGATATATGGTAAGTCGTTTAAATTTTTAATATACGAACCTACTGGTCTGAATAATATGTATATATTCAGACCAACTGAATGAGTCAAAAATTTCCTAAAACATATCATGATGTAGTTATACATAGCCTCCAAAACAATAACAACTATAAATGTTTGTATTATTAGCTTCGTAAAGTTGAGATAATCAAGTAACAATATCTTTATTGTACTGGAATTGATATATATACAATATATGTATATGAATACTCTAAGGTAACACACTCATGCAGATTATGAACAAATTTGGGTAACTTCTTAATGTAAATTGTAAACTAAAGAATTAAATAATTTATTTGCCAATAATGTTGGTATACAAACAAGTTGGATTGTGACAAGATTATATGATGGTGGCTATGAATAACTGTTTCTTTTACTTTCATACCAAGTAACTGGCAACATATTTACTTACTTAAAGAGGGATGATACCAGTGTATGAAAATTAAAAATCTAATTAGTCCGTCAGTTAGGTAAAGAAAAAATATTAGACACTTATTTTTTATTTTGTTGTATTTTCAAATGATACTTAGCTAAAACAAATCAAAGTTTAGGATTGGGGGCTAAAACGTCATTTCTACGTGTAAAATGTACATAGAAGTGCCGTCTCAAGACATTTCAAATCAATATGTCATCGAAAGTATTAGTTTCTATAAAGAAATAAAAAATATGTGTGTAATGTTTTAAAATAATCTACCAGACGGAGATTAAAATTAAATTAGTCATCTACCCTATTAGAGTGATCTCGAGAAACACTACTTACTTCGCAACACTTTTTCGTCTTCAGGTGTTTGGGCTAAAGACAGTGATGAGGACGACAATGAAGATAATATCAGACAGAGATCTCGTAAGCCCAAGGATTTCAGTGCACCCATCGGATTTGTGGCTGGAGGAGTGCAACAGGCTGGAAAGAAGAAAGAAGAATCTAAAGGTTTGTTCTTGTTACCACACATAACATCACACCTTTTTAAACCCGAAAGGGGTAGGCAGAGGTGCACATTATGGCTTTTAGTGGCACTGTAGCACCCACTTTTCACTATTTATTGTCATGAGTCCCATGTAATAGGGGGTGAGGCTATTGCCATATACCGGGCACAATACCAGACTCCGTGCTACTATTGAGAATTTCCTCATTACCAAAAAAGTAATAATAAGGAGACAAGTACAAATTACAACTATTTATTAACATACTTATTCCAAATCCCTAAGAAAACACCCCTGTTATCTCTCCAACTACTCCATTATAGACCTTATTTATGGTAGTTAAAGACTATTTTTGTATGAACAAAGAAGTTAAAATATATAAGAAAACAAGTAATATGTAAAGGACTGATGGCATTTTATGTACAGACTCACTTTATTTTAATCCTTTGAGTACCGTCATTATAGACACAATTAAACTGTCAAACACCAAGCGCAACCTATTTTTCTTTAATTGTGTCTATATTGGCGGTACTCAACGAGTACAGTAAAGAACAATAGGTTTGCGGACATTGGTGTCCTCACGGTGTTTGACAGTTTGGTCCTTTTTTTGTAAACTGCATTCGCCAGCATAGACTGAATGATATTCATCAAACACAAATGAAAAAAAATGAACTTATGTATGTACCTATCCTATACGAATTTAAAAAAAATCCTGGATGTCTTCAAAGCCCGAGTGAATAGGTTGCTTACAGGTCGACGTGCTCCATCGTAAACCGCATTATCAATTACCACCAGGTGAGACAAAGGTCAAATGTCGGGCCATCAAATATAAAAAGAATAACTGGAAATATAATCCCTTTACAGAGATAGAATCATCAGAAGCGTCCACTTCAAGGCCAAAGTTTGCTGACAGCTCGGATGAAGAAGAACAAAGCGCACCTGATGCGAGTGAAACTGCAGGTATACGGAGACAGGGGCAGGGCATGCGGCCAGCGAACCTTGGAGGCAATGTTGGCACTTGGGAGAAGCATACTAAAGGTATAGGAGCTAAGCTGTTGTTGAAGGTCAGTAGTTCTTGCTCTATAATAATATATATCTAATAGGTATCTTTCTTGTTACAGTGACTATTGTACTACCTATAACAATTTTGAAATGTTCAACCTCACATGTTTAGCCAAATAACTACCGCTTAATAGGGTAGATTAATTAAAAATATTAGACACATATTTTGTCTCTTCTCACACAATGAAATACTTTTGACGATATAATAATCTGAAATATCGTGTGACGTCACAATACGCTACATTTTGTAGCACTTAGTGACGTAACGACCTCCCACTCTTAAACTTAACTCCATTTTATCATCATATTAATTACATATCATATTAAAATTATTATATATAAAAGTTTTGTCAATACTCTTGTCAAAATTTTACTACATCGACATTGTATTGTTTCCAGATGGGTTACCAACCTGGTATGGGGTTGGGTAAAGACCTACAGGGTATCTCCGCTCCCGTAGAGGCTACAGTGAGAAGAGGAAGGGGAGCAATTGGAGCTTATGGACCTGAGAAAGCTGCGGTAAGGATAATTCATTTCCTTACCGGATTTAACAAAGGAAAATTATATTGGGCTACCCCATTCTTGAAATTCAATTCTTACATGGAGTGAATGTTTGTAAACACATTGTAAAACAGGGAAAAATCCTAGTGTGGGGCCAAGTTACAAAAGGCTATACTTTATAACTAGGTCATCATAATCATATCAGCCACAGGATGTCCACTGCTGAACGCAGGCCTCCCCCAATGACTTCCAGATAGGCCGGTTGGAAGCGACCTACCTATAACTAGGTTATTAATTTGTAATATGATTGAAATTGGATGGATTGAAAGATGATGTAGTGACAAGGATTGAAAAGGGAATGTTACGCTGGTTTGGACATGTAGAAAGGATGGATGAAAGTAGAGTAACGAAAGAAGTATACAGAGCGGATATGAATGGGGCCGTCGGTAGAGGGCGCCCTAGACTGACATATAGTGACCAGATTGGCGATATATTAAAGAAGGGCCAAATTAAAAGTACCCTTAACCGACGAGCATGAATGAAAAGATTGATGACTGTTATTGAAGCGAAAGAGGTATGTAAGAATCGTAGTAATTGGCGTTCCTTAGTCTCTGCCTACCCCCATGGGAGACAGGCGTGAAGTTATGCATGTATGTTAATTTGTAATATCCCAAAAGTCCTAATTTCGGTTTAACACTAATTCATATACTATAATTACAATGTTTTTGTAGCAAAAAGCCAAAAAGGAAGAAGAGCTTCGTCGTCAGAAGGAGAAAGAAGATGAAAAAGGTCCAAAGGAGAAGAATTACAACTGGAAGAAGTCTCATAAGGGACGCTACTTCTACCGGGACGCGGCTGATGTTATACAAGAGGGTAAACCTTCGATGCATACTGTTACCAGGTATTTAGAATTAGACGAATGTCGTTGAATAATTGTAGTTTAGCGGTCGAGAGTCTCGAGGTCAATAGAGCGCACAGTTTTGGGTCCTCAATAGCTTTCTATCAACGTAGATACCATTGGAGAATCAAACCTTTGTCATCCAATCAGATTCTTTAAAATATAGTTCTCAATGATGTATCACTTATAATTAGTAAGAAGGAGAGCAAAAAAACGCTTCTAGAGTCCAATATGGTATGTTTAACACTAAGATTTTTTTTATTTTGTAAGTGTTTATAGCTACAATATACGTCACACCCAATAGAAGACTCGAAGCAATAATTTGGGTATCACACAGACGGATCACTTGATGGTAAGCAATCGCCGCCGCCGATGGACCGGACAAGTGGATTAGGAATTTGGGGATTGATTTGAGGATTCGGGGATTGGGGAGATTGGGGAGGGGGGTAACTGGGTCTCCGAATGAACCCGCAACACGGTGTGCAGCATCCAGTAATAGCCACTGCGCCATTGCTGTAGCCATGTTATGACACGAACGAACTGTCTCGCAGCAACGAGTTGTCCCGCGTGCCCGTGATCGACATGACGGGCAAGGAGAAGCGAGTGCTGAGCGGGTACCACGCGCTGCGCGCCGCCGCGCCGCGCTTCGAGCACGAGCCGCGCCGCCACTGTCGGCACTTCGCCGCGCCACAACTCGCGCACAACCTCATGCTCGTCGTGGACTGCTGCGAACAGGTCCACATCACTTTGGAGACATTTTTACTTCATCATACAGTAGAATCGTTTAAATCGTTTATTAAACACAAAAACTTCCAAAAGATGTAATATCCGTCCAATTATTATACAATTATAGTAAATTATAAATACTAATAAATTATAAAAACAACTTACATTGAAATAATGAAAGATAAATTTAGGATGAGTACAATAAGGTATTTTTTTATTTTTATTATACTGTAGCGTCCCGCCTGAGGTAAGTTTCAGTAAAAACCTGTGTTTCAGGCCATCACTTCACTCAAGATGAGATTAGGATGTCAATTTGAGAACGTAAAATATACACCATTTATAAAAGATATACCAAGGAGAAAAATGCTTTTACGACTAATAATACATTAAAATATTTTATATCAAAACACATTGTCCTGTCCTTAATTAAAAAAACATCTAAAAACAATCTCCTTCAAATCGACAGGACATAATTCAAAACGCTCGCGAGTTACAAGCGGCAGAAGACGAGATAGTAGTTCTGGAGAGAGACCTGGAGGACTGCAACACTAAGCTCCAGGAACAGGACAAAGTCATCAACAAGGTGCAAGGGATACTGCAACGAGTCGAGATGCTGAACCAACCTGATGTCTCGTTAGAGAGGGCTCATGATGTATTGGCTGACTTGAAGGTTTGTTCATAACTTTTAACGGCAGAAATTAAACAATCGATCTTAATCCAGAATCTATGGATCGAGACAGTTTCTTAGTCGACACTACATAGAACGAATGTTTAAAAGTATTTTATTAATTTCGGTCATAAATACTGAACTGTCATATTAACTCGTCGAGTACCGGTTTTGCAGACACAATTAAAGAACAATAGGTTGCGGTCACCGGTGACCGCTTGGTATTTGACAGTTTAAACTTTAAATGATTTTCAACTGTAAATTGAACACGTTGTAATTCTAGTTAAATTTCCAATCTGAGACCTTAGACATTGTTTTAAATTTAACTCGTCGAGTACCGGTTTTGCAGACACAATTATAGAACAATAGGTTGCGGTCACCGGTGACCGCTTGGTGTTTGACAGTTTAAAGTTGACGAAACGAGACTATTTCCCCAATAGGTACTTGAACGCTACTCAATTTTAAGTCGCACTGTATAGTTCTGTGCAGCGGAGAACCTAACGGGTTACCGGGGCTCCGGCTCGAAGTGCAGGAGTAGGAACGGGGTGGTTTATAGTCAGTAAGAGTCCGACACTCCCTCTTGCCTCACCCAGGCGGGAGCAGTCATTCGATGATTTTCGCCCCTTAAAAAAAGTATAGTTCCGTCTCTACAAATTCTTCGTAAAATGACAGAGATAGCACGATATTTATACAACTTAAAATTGTAGTCTTTGAGAATTTAGACGTATGTTTAGCACTCTAATTAGTTGGTTCATTGGATTGGTTAGTTTTTTTGATCCGGCCAATCAGAGCGCCAAACGCGGTCTTGTTTTGATTACTTTTAACGTAAAGCAAATTCGTTATAAGCTTTTTTTACAAGTAGTTGCCCTTGTAACATACCAAAGTCAATAAGACGGTAAAATCGTCACATTATATCTTAGATACGATCCTCATTTATTCCAGGAAACATACCCAGTAGAATACGACATGTTTGGCCTGGGTACTATAGCGGGTAACATAGTGAGTCCACTACTGAGTTCCCTGCTGGCCCCCTGGGAGCCACTGCAGGCGCCGGACGAGCACATCCCGACCTTCCTGAAGTGGAGGAAGTTACTCACCGAGGAGGCCTACAACAGTTTGCTCTGGCAACACTTTGTGCCGCAACTTACTACGGCTGCCGAGTGAGTTTATATTTACGTTTTATGAATGTATATGTAATTTATCGTTACAATTCGCTTAAGATACTTACAATTTAACAAATATTACTTATCAAGCCTTTATCTCTAAACGGATGGACAGTGGTGTACATATTCAATTCAACAGCTATTTAATTTGTTACGAATCCCATGTAATGGGGAGTTATAGTCTATTTCTATAATATGACTCTTGAATGACAGTCTGAGCTGTCTGCATTACTGAGACATTTTCGAAAATAAGAAAATGCCACGAGTACTACGGAGCAAGGGCCCAGTAGTCACTTGTGAGGCTTGCGATCTCTGAACGAACGCTGCAAACAGGCAGTTCAATAATCAAACATCTAAAATTTAATAATTGGGATGATAACGGGATATAAAAAATTAAAAATCTATTTAGTCCGTAAGATTGGTAATGAAAAAATATTGGACACGTATTTTTTATTTTGTTGTAAAATAATACTTAGATAAAACGAATCAAAGTTTAGAAATGGGGGCTAAAGCGTCATTTCTACGTATAAAATATACATAGAAGTGACGTCACGCGACTTTCCAAATCAATAAATCGTCGAAAGTATTCGTTTCTGTAAGAAAATAAAAAATACGTGTCTAATGATTTAAAATATCTCTTGCATCTACCCTATTAAAACCATCATAACTTTATGATAACTTAGAGATGTCAAATGTGTGTTTTTTTTTTGTAAAAATGCATTCATAACTTTGATTTTATACTCCACCAGATCATGGAACCCCCGCACCCCCACTCCAATGCTCCGCGCGGTACAAGCGTGGCAGAACGCCAGCCCCGCCTGGGTGACACGCGCGTGTGTATCACGCGTCGTGGTACCACGCCTGCTCGCCGCCGTGCGGGCGTGGGATCCCACGCATGACACTCAACCGCTGCACCAATGGGTGCTGCCGTGGCATGACTTGGCTGGTATGTATTAAAGAAGAGACAATTTATAGTTATAGAATGTAATTTAATATTATTAACAGCATTATAAAGAGCTGCAATCTTGTTAATTGTTAGCTATTTCATAGGTAACTGGATAAATTGATCTGACAGATAGTCCATCTAAAAGTGATTATCCAAGGCCTGTGAAACCAGCCGTGCACTTATATTGTAATTATTTATTAATCCTTTTCCTTTTGCAAAAAATATTTGTTGATGAATGAGTTCATTGAGGTGCTTAAATCCTATATACACTAAGTGAGAAAACTAGTAATAGTACTGTCTTTATGAAATCTAGTAATAGTACTGTCATAGTAAAATTTTGCAAACTTCACGAGTTCCTTGTTCCCTGTAAGGTAAACTTTGACTTGTATTTTGGTTGACAACAGCTTAATTTGTAGTCATTATTTCCCACCTATAAATTGGAATTAATAACTATTTTGTTTGTACAAGCAGCACACTTTGATATTTATCATGACTGTGCACTGTGAGTAGGCGAGGCCCTGGCCACGTCGGTGTACCCGCTGATCCGGTCCCGGCTGGCGAGCGCGCTGGCGGGCTGGCACCCGGCGGACGGGTCTGCGCGCGGCCTGCTGCAGGCCTGGACGCGCGCCTGGGGGCCCGCCCTCACCAACATGCTGCACCAGCACATCGTGCCCAAGCTGGACCACTGCCTCACTCACGCACCGCTGGAACTTGTTGGGAGGGAGAACAGTACGTATTTTTGTATTTATTATTGAATTTGTGCTTCGAGTCAGCTGAAATTGTACGGTTTAGTTCGGCCAAATCAATCGCAACTATGGTTGCCCTTTTATATCAAGTTAGCCTAGTAATTTCATTTTTAGAAGAAAATTATTAATTAATTAATTTTTTTTTGAAAAGTCTTTACTAATTCTGTCTGGCGCTTATCATTTTATTTTAAAACGTTGCCCCACACCTGGATTTTTTCCTGTGTCGTGATTGCGTTTACAAACATACAAGTTTACATACACATGACACCTAGACCTGGAACAACAATCTGTGGATCACACAAAGAGTTGTTCCGTGCGGGAATCGAACCGTTGTCACGTTGCGCGGCAGCCAGTTGTCCAGGTACCTCGTTAATCGTGCCGTAGCCAATCAATGATAACGTCTTTGTGCCGATTTTTTCATTTTTCTTTTATAATGTGGTGAATAGTTAAGATGAGTACCTGTATGTATTGTCCCCAGCGGCGTGGCTGTGGTGCGTGGAGTGGCTGGAGCTGCTGGGCGCGGCGGCGGTGGCGGCGGTGGCGGCGCGCGCGCTGCTGCCGCGCTGGCTGGCCGCGCTCGCCGCCTGGCTCAACACCAACCCGCCACACGCCACTGTACTCGCCTCCTACACTGACTTCAAGGTCATTTGCTTGTAACATCATAACATCACGCCTTTTTATCCCCGAAGGGGGAGACAGACGTGCACATTATGGGACTTAATGCCACTATACAATG